TACAATCAATATGCATTAAAAAGTATAAGATGTTTAAGGACTTCAAATAATTAACCTCAATCTCGTTAATTAATAGGTTTATAAGTTATAAATTATAGCAATGTAATAATATGTTATTCCGACAATTGACTAGTAACGTTGGGGATGAAAGGGTTAATATACCCAATATAATTTGGTTGCGACCCACTGTGCCATAGACACATTTGCACGTATTGGAATGTGCACATGCCGATCTTAAAATCGTGTAAGTATAGAAACTGGTGAATATGTTAATTAAGTCATGCGGTCAGAACGGCAGGAACGGATTAAAGGAAGTTGGAGTAAGTGAATGAGGAAAATGTCACCGAAGGGCGAACAGGATAACCTCCTTTTTACCGCCCAATTGTTCTACTTCGTGGTCCTCTCACCTGGCGAATCGTGTCGCTGTCAGGGCTCAGGAGTCCCTCAATTAGTTGCAGAATAGCAGCCTCCATATTTTAAGGAGTTTGTGTGTGGTCCAGTTGGCCAAGTCCAATCCAATTTGGGATAATCACAACCGCCGAAATCGCACGAGCGGAATCGAGAAATGGGAAGCCGGGGAGAATTCGCAAAAATCCAACCAGGGATGGACGCCCGTTTAGCGTTGCACGTTTTGCTCTTGTTCTTAATTTTGTTTTACAAAATTTTTGTATAAAATAATGTTTTTTCCTGTAGATGATGATAATTTGTGTGCTCTCAAAAGTGTGATAAAATAAAATACAAAATAGGATGATGTCTGACATTTGAATAAACAAGTTATCAAAAGCAGCCCTGGGGTGCGTGTGCCGCCCTGGTGTTATCGATAATCGACGTCCATTTTCGAACCAAACGACGCGCCTTTTTTGTTTACCGGTTGTTTGCGCTACTAACTGTAAACGGACGAAGCGAAATGGACAAGAGCAGTGGAAGTGGTAGCCAGGGTAACGGCAGCTACATGGACCAGAACTCGCTGGGCATCCTAAACATGGACAACCTTAAGGGTAAGTTAGGATTCAGATTCAGAGTCCCTTGGAGCAGGGAGTAATTCGATGACCTTGCAGTCTTTGGCGATCTGTCCAGCTTCAGTAAGAGCAGCCGGAGGAGCGGCGTTAGTCGGGACTCTTCCGGCGTCCACGAACGCCTGCGAGAAGAGCGGATGCGTGCCCTGGAGACCTTGGAGAAACCTCGCCCCACGCGTCAAAGCCAAGCGAAGAGCACTGCCCCCCAAAAGCGCTCCACCACAAACATCTCGGAGCTGGTGACTGACGAGACCATCGACCTGAACAGCAGTGTCTCCTTTGCCTTGGCCACGCCCGCCGCCAAGGGCACCAACATATCCTTTGAGCCTGCAGAGATCACCGGCAGATCAACCCTCTGTCAGGGTGGCAAACAGCGCCGACGAGAGAAGCCATCCCTTTCCGTGGCCGAAATCCTCAAATCCTCGTTCGTGGAGAAGGCCCGCCTGCTGGAAAAGAAGCTGCACGATGCCAGCCAGCTGGAGACCAGCTACCATTTGTCCCGGGCCAACTCCAGCAGTGTCACGGACTCGTTCAGCTGCTCCCGCAGTTTGCCGCGCACTGCGGACATGAGTGACCTCAGTCTCAACGGCGGAGGAGGATTCTCTTTTGGCTCCACCTCGCTGGCGGAGGCGGCTGGCCAGAATGAGAGCTTCGCCCCCGCCGAGCTAATGCAGTCCAAGTTGGTGCTGGGCGAAATCTCGTGGGCTCAAGAGTTTACGGCCATGCCCACGGCTACTTTGAGCACCCAGGCCATGCAGAAGATCGCTGCTCCGCCACCCACATCCGAAATAGAAACCTCTGTGTCCAAGTAAGTAAAGGAAATATTTCTTCCTGTTGGTATATGGCATGGTTAATTAACATTTCTTACTTACAGCTCTGTCTTGGCCGGAGATCCGGATTTCTCTCTGGGCAACTACTTTCAGACGCGCTCGGAGAACATATGGAACATAGTGAGGGATGACAGTCCGGATCGCAGTCGTTCTATTCAGGCACTACGAGAACCAGAACAAAACAAGACTCTGGAGTCCGTAGGCGAGAAGACACCGCAGCCCGAAAATAAGACCTACACCAAGACGGACGCCATTGCAGACTCGAATTTGGGACGCAATCTTATGCGAAAGAAGCAGCAAGATCGTATTCAGACTGTGCTGAAGGCCAACAATGGCCTGGCGGCTCAAGAGCCCAAGCGCCCGCCCTCAAGTTCTGAGATCCTGAGTCTTTCGGCCATCGATAAAGCTCTAAGGGATATCGATCTCAATTCGGATACATCCACCGTGGAGGTAGTCAACCACCTGTGGGAGCGTGGTCGTGGGAAGAATTACGAAAATGAGGAGAACAAGGAGAACCAGAGCAGCGCCTCAAATGCGGAGCGCACCCTGTGCTCCAACAAGCTCACGGACACCATGAGCTTCACGGACTCTGTACTGAACTCCACGGACTTTCGCCACCTCCAGCACAGCATCTCGCGCAAACCCCTCAGTCCGCTGGCGGACCAGCCGCAGATCACCATTAGCCGTGCGGAAACCGAACCCGTGGAGACGGAGGTCGAGGCGGACATCGACGAGTGGCCCTCGACACCGGTTAAGGAGCCCAGCCGCAGAGTGAGACGTACCAAAATTTCCCCCAGAACCGCCAGTCCGGCGAGCAGCGATGGACTCCGTCCACTAACCTGCACCGAGGACGAAGACGAGGACAAAACGCCGGTGAACAAGAAGAGGGTCTCGATCTCCACAGTGGGCCTGATTCCTCGCAATCCCTCATCCTTGAGCAGTACTCGATTGGATGGATGCGATGTCGCCGTGGCCTCTTCCACCGAGCGCGACTTTGGCATTTCCCCGAACCTGGCCAAGAACCTGTCGCCCATGTCCTCGCCGAGAAGCTGCCTCTCGTCTCCACTGCTGGACAGCACCACCAATTCCGAGCGCCGGCAGCTGATGAGCGGTGCTGTCCGCAAGGCCAACTCTTCGCCAGCGGGAAGCGAGGCGAGTTCCACCAGCGGGTTCACCACGAGCGGTAGACGAGGACCTGGTTCCAGCTCTGCCACTGCACCGCGTAGCATGTCGCGATGCTCCAACTCCAGTGAGTTCAGCCACCGGGACGGCAAGCTGCTCCCCTTAAAGGTGACCCACACTAGCCTGTGCTGGGGCAGCACCAAGCTGCGAACAGACGTGCGCAAGTCCATGCAGGTGAAGAACACGGCGGACAAGCGACTTGTCATCCGGCTGGGCATCCAGGGACCAGGCTTCCAGCTCGTGGGCACCGAAAGCAGCACAATCACCCTGCAGGCCATGGAATGCCGCTCGGTGGTGATTAACTTCTGTCCCACTGTCTGTGGAGCGGCCATCGGAGCATTGTCCTTCTATGCACCGTCAGGAGCCCACAACAGCGGCCAGCCTGGCCTAGAGATTCCGCTGTACGGCTACGGCGGCAGTGCGTCCATCACCATACAGGGTCTGCTGAAGGGACCGGTGGGCGCCAGTTTCCTCACCATCGGTGATGTATGCGAGCTATCCGCCGGTCCACTTTCGGCCAGTCTCCGGTTCCACAACAAGGGCCCGCTAACCGCCTTTGTGGGCATCTCAGTGGACTCCACCGTGCTGATGAAACTGCGCCTGAGCGAGGCCTTCGATGTGCGGCCTAGCCGAATGATCCTGCCGCCCAATAGCGAGGGTAGCGTGCAGATCGTCTTTCGACCAAATCGCGAGGACTTGAAGAACATACTGAAGAAGACCGCCCAGGTGCTGACGCTGGCCAACATGCGAATTTTCTGCGGGGACGAGCCCAACAGACAGCGCATGCGCAGCCTGGTCCAGAGGATGAGCTCCCGGCAGCGGGAGAAGCTCACCTCCCCGATGCTGGACAGCATCTGGGGTGGATTTCCGGATGAGCAGCCAGTCCGAAACCTAGGGCTGCTCAACGAGCCGCCCGAATTCATCCTCGATCTGGTCACCGTTGTGCGAATTATCGATGTGGCACTCACTCTCAATCGGGACTTCGACGAGTCCTCGGAGAGCTCGCTAATGTTCCTGCCGGAAGCCGAGGAAACTGTCTTATTTCGGACGATCTGTGTGCCTAGTTCGCCAACGCCAACACAGAGCAACCTGCTGGAGCCCGTGGATGAACTGTTGGAGGCGGACACCACTACTCTTATGCCCGTCGAGCGGAATTGGTCCGTGGAACCCAACTCGCTGGAATTCGATGCCGGCGGATCTCCTCTGGCCACTTTGTCCGTGACGAATAGCTTTCGCTCCAGGCAGCTCATCGAGGTGAACTGCAGCATCCCGGAGCTGGTGCGGATCAGTCCCAGCGAGTGCTATGTGGCTCCGGATGGCGGTCGGGTGGAGATCGATGTCCGACTGCTCCGCTCGCCCAGGCGCGATTTGCTGGAGAAGGAGCCTCTCATCATGGTCTCCATGGAGAACGAGCGCATCAATGTGCCACTTAGCTTTAAGTTTTAAATCGTATCTGTGCCTGCTAATTGCGTTTGCCCTTGATTTATGTATTTGAACTGTTAAATAAAATTGCATTGTATTGTCGTGTGTTCTAATGAAATAAAACCGATTGTAGAGGATTTTTGAATATTAACTTTATTTTAAGTTTAATCACAATTTTAAAAAACATGGACGTATACTTTGTTCTTAAAACGCCAAGGGTATATAAACTTCGGCTTAGCTTATTGAAGTTTTCAAATTCTAACGTTTCTTTTTGTTGTTTTTGAGATAATTAATCGATAAGTGATGGGCGGGCACACTTTGTACAATTCCAAAGCGGTCACACTGGCGCAAAGTGCATAATTTGTATGCATTTTCTTTCCAAATGAAAATGGACGCAGACAGCAGTGGAGCCGGGCATCGAGGTAACGTGTTTAAATAACTGCCTTTATTTGCTTTTGCTTTTCCCTTTGGCATCTAATCTAAGCAATCTAACGAGTAAATGTTTACGGCAAACAATACCAGCAATGTGTTAGAGGAGGACAGAATAACATTCTAACGCATTGCATTCATTTTTCTACAAGCAGACTTCCAATAATTGTTGCTGTCTGGCTGGTTTAACTTTTAAATAGTTACATTATTTTCTAAAGGATAAGCAAAAGCAATTGAAATGTTGCAAATAGTCGAAGCTGAGTTTTGCGACTTCGACATTTTAAACACTTCCGAGGTTTATATACATACATATCTATATAGTATATACGATCTGATCAGAATTGACCAAGTGCATACAATGTTTTTTTCTTTTTGTTGTTTTTTTTCTAGTGTCAAACTGTGTGAAATGTGAAATGATGAAAAAGAATCGCTGAGCGCGCAAACAAAGAAGACAGGACGATTGGACAACCAACTGCGCATTATGTGGACCCCATGGAACCACCAAGGACCACATTTCGCAGAAGTGTCTAACCCTTCTCTTTCCACGTAGATTCCCGCAGGTCCAGCTCCCGATCGCGATCTCGGCGAGAAAGGGAAAGCCATGGAAGACCGAGGGAAAACCATGGTCGAGCAAGGGAATGGGAGCGGAAACGGGAGGACCACAAGGTTCCATACTTCGCGGACGAGGTACGGGAACGAGATCGAGTGATGAGACTGCACCAAAGATCCCCCAGATCCGGCAGACGCACCCGCTCCAGATCTAGATCCCAGTCATCCGAGCGGGCGAGCAGGCACAGAAGGCAACGGGCCCGCTCAAGGAGTCGGAATCGCAGCAGCGAACGGAGGCAGCGCCAAAGAACTCCACACCGGTACAATCCGCCGCCAAAGATCATCAACTACTATGTGCAAGTGCCAGCACAGGATTTCTACGTTAGTAGATTTATGTACTGCAGTTTCATAAGATCTAACAGAGATTGCCAGCCAACATAAAAGAAAAAAAATATTTTAAAAATTTTAAGTTTCTATTTTAAAGTATTAAAGGCACAATTTCTGGAAATAATCTCTGCTAGAAACGATGAAAATGTCGAGCAAATGTCCAACCCAGTGAAATTTTTGACCTACACATTATTTTCACATATTTTTCAGGGGATGTATGGGACATATGGCATGGCACCGCCGCCAAGGTTTGGATTCCAGCGGCCACCACGTCCTCCGCCCTTCCCGTCGGCCACTTACCTACCTAGATTCCGCCATCGCCCTCCATTCCTGGGAGCGCCCCGTTTCGGGTATAGAAACGCGTGGCAACCACCAAATTAGACATACGTCATTCGACATAATTACAAATTTATTTACATTCGTGTGTTTTGTACATTAAAATAATAAATATATATATTTGAAACTATAGGGGGAGAACATAAAATATTGCAAACGGAGAAAGTTGATTAAATCATGAGCAAATGCAGCGAAGACGGCGGCAGAAAAAGTGTCACACGAGTTAAGGAGAGGAAGTTACTTAATCCTAGGAGGGATAACCATATAATTACGACTTTATACATGCACATTTACACATACACACATGGTTTGGGGGACTAACACTAGCGACTCTCTCCTAATTACGATATTTACGCTTTGTCAATAAATTATAAAAATAGATCATTTGTTGTGGCATTATACTAAACAGTGGTTAGAGCTCGACCCTCGGACGAAACTGCAGCCGGAGCGGAGGATCCCGGAAGCGCCAGCGCGTCACGTAGACGAACTTCAGCGTGTGATCCTTGCCGAGCAGCTCCTCGTTACACAGAATGTCGATCTGTGAATGTTTAGATGTGATTTTAGTACAGTATAAAAAGTGAAACAGATAGCAGTTTCAGCAACGGAGCCCACCTCTCGGTACTTTTCAATGCCGTTGAGGATCTTCTTGGCCACCAGCTTTTTGAGATGCGTTATCGTCGCCTGCGAGCTGCAGCGGATGAAGCGTCTCTGCAGGTTCTTGAAGTTATTGCTGATGCACTCCAGGCACACGTTCACCTGCTCGTCCAGGCGATGGAAGTCGGACTCCGCGTGGGCGTCCATCACCTTCTCGTTGTCGTCCTCGTGGTTTTGCGTAATGTCCTTGGGGCACGGCATGTTCCTGCTCTTGTAGAAGTCCCGCTCCCGGCGCGATTCATCTGGAACGATTTGAGGTTGGCTTAGAATGGGTGCCGGAACGAATGACTGGACTCAGGACAAACCTTCTTGCAGTTTCGGCACCAGTTTGTACACGATGTCCTGCATGGTGCGATCGAAGCTGATGTATTGCAGGGGATGGGACTGGTGGATGATGTTGTCGCAGGTGGGGCAGGTTTTCTTCTCCTCCAGGTGCTTCACCAGGCAACTCTTGCAGACTGAAAGGACAAATTACTTGCGTTATTGGGCAGGTGCTGCTCCATGCTGGTGCGGGGCCAACTTACATGTGTGCAGACACTCCGTCACCGTGGTGGCATCGATGAAGTAGCCCCCGCAAATCTTGCACGTGATGTGCGGATTGATGGTCTTCAGCTTCACGCGCCGCTCCATGCTGGCCCCCGACTTTGTGTGGAACTGAACTTCCCTTTATGTTACTAACTATAGCTTATATCCCTATTTATTGCGGACTGTGGCTTGCCCTGCTGCGGATTTTCCGATCTCCCACTCCCGGGCGGAAAACGCTGAAATCGGCGGCCGCACTCGCTTCCGCTTAATTCGAATGCTCGCGGACGGTTAAACAGGCACTCGGCATTGTGGCCAGCGGTTTTCGGTCGCGATTTGTTTCCTTTTTAGCTGTAATTTGAAACAAATAAAATAGAAATCACGACTAAATTGTGTGTACGTGTGAGTTAGGGATGGGCGATAGTTGCGTACCTGTTACTTGTCGCGAGCATTTCACAGTCACCAGTCACGGCTTTGGCGGGCTGTCACGGGCATTCGCGGTTTAATTAATATAAATGAACGGCAAGGGTTAAATAACATGGGATTTTTAGTTATACAGTTGGCATTCTATTGCTAGCTCGAGTTATTGTAAATAAGGAACGGAAACTAGCCTCACCAAAATACCGGCCGGCAGATAGTTTGATTTATAATCTTCAAATCCATTTACAATGAGTACATAGGTACTTGGAATCTGACTTCACTTTTAAATATGTTGCACATTTTTCATCACTTTTTTAATAAAAGTGACTCTTTTCACTTGTCAAATCACATCTATCGTAACGAAATATGTGCGTGTGTGGGTGGATTCTCACTTTAAAATACCGTGACTATTGCTTCTCTATTCTAGTCACAACTATCGTATCGGATTGCGTGGGTGCAGTCTGGCAAGGCCTATTGCAAAATAAGGACTGGTCACACTTATATCATACAACAAGCGGGTATGTTTGCTAAGTTTTTTGTTAAAGCCAAAGTTTAAATTTAATTTGAAAACATTCAAGTCAGAAAATTGTTGATCTCAATAAAATAAACTACAAATTATTAAGAATTTCTTTTGTTTTTAACTAGAATAGTCTTATATAATAAAATAGTCAACCTAGCATGATCTGGACAAGAAAACCAACAATTACAAACATTTAAAGATGAGGGGCGGTTGGACTATTATTATTTTGACCGCAACTGTTTTTGACACTATAGCCCAAACTTAATCAAGTGACCAACTAACACGTATTTGCTTAAATTATTGCGAATCTATTGTTTTCATTTTTATTTTGTAAATTTGCATAAAGTCGAAATAAACTATTTATTTGTCCAGTATGTAGTTCGCGTATTGTGGTTCATATTTGTCAATATAGTGCTGAACAAATCGGCACTTGATAACAATAAATTGTCCATTCAATAAGGCGTAGTCCAGCGCCGCCTTCGCCAACAGCTTTCCGATGCCTTGTCCTCCCAACTCCTTTGGAACTTTGGTGCTATGGATTGTCATTACACCATCTTTAAGGGAATAATTTAGCTCCGCTCGAACTCCAGCAATATCGATGTAGAACCTGTCTCTAGTGTGCCGAATAACAATGTGCGTTCCAAGACATCTTTCCTGTGGATTAACGATCGGAACCTTCAGCAAATGGCCTGCGAGTGTGTTACTACTCTTTGGAATAGAGTAAACTTTTGAAAAAATGCGATATGTTCGGCGGCCAGTGTACAGAAACACAACAGGAAGTAATTTTGAAAACATTTCTTAATTCCGGAGTAGTTTGTAAATAAATAAACATACATACATCATATTGACGACTTTCGGAGAGACCAGATTTAACTTTTAAAATGGGTCACATTTTGTTAAGGGGAGATTCCCGTTTTCCGCAAAAAAATAAATTTACTTGGTATGTTTTTTGTTTATCCTACTCCGATAGAGATAATTATTTAATTATTGTAAACACAGTTTGTTTATTATTTCCAAGCGAACCTTAAGATTAGTGTGACCCTACACTCGTTCACTTCTTGGTCCTCGAATTGCCACCAGCAATCAGCTGTTGCTCTGTTGCTGTTTTTGTTGTGTGGCTTCCTTAGAGACGTAGTTTTTTTTTTGATAACTACATTACTCACAGCTAAACCGGAACAATGGCTCTGGTAGATCACGACTCCTGGGACATTGAATATGAGGGATGCGAACGACTGCGCCACCAGCTGCTGGTGCACCTGAACCAGCGCCAGCAGCTCAATCGACTTAATCGGACGAGCAAGTACGACCAACTGACGGCCAGTATTGAGTCCGGTCTAGAGCAGTTGTCCAAGGACATGAAGCACCTGAAGGTTGTCCTGGACAACGCCATCACCTGGGAGACGAGTCCGGAGGAAGAGCTGCAGCAGCGGCGCATCGACTGGGACCGACTCACCTCGCAGCTGCGCGAGATCCGGGAGAAGTTCACTAACAGCTCGCGATCCAATGTGGTGACTGCCGCCTCCGCCTCCGGATCCGTTTGGCAGGATCAGGACCTCGTCTCGGGTCAGGGCAGTTCTTCGCGAGACACGGCCTTGGACGTGGAAGCCCTGAAGCAGCGGAAGATCGAGATGTTGGAGCAACAGAACCAAGGACTCGAGGTTTTATCAGCCACATTGTCCAGGCAGCGCCAACTGGCCACGCAACTGGGCAACGAGGTGGAGGATCAGAATAGTGGGTGTAACCCGATCCCTGCACAGCCATTGCTCACCCCTCTCACTTTTCAGACATCCTGGACAACTTGGCCAACGCCATGGACCGCGTGGAGATGGGTGTGCAACGGGAAACCCAGAGCATTGGGCAGGTTAACCGGCGGGACAGCACCTGGGGCTACTGGCTGGTTATTATCGCCTTGTTCGTCGCCATTATCGTGGTGGTCTTGGTCTAGGCCGCCAACTATTCCAACTGTTATATACGTCATTGCTTTATATTATGACCTTTGTGGAATGTCTGTCTGTCGTTAACCCAAAGTTTAATTATTTATACACCAATTAAAGTAGGATTTATAAGTATCTACGTTCGCGGATCGTTCCCTTCAACAGGTTTATTTAGTCGTTACATTACGGTTAACAGATGTACAGGTGCTTATCTACTTAAGCCAAATCGGAGGCGTAGGGGACGCCGGCCAGGTGGCCGATGGCGCCGACGGCCAGCTTGGAGCTGCCCACCTTCTTGGCCGCCTCCTGAACCTGCGACTGCGAGATACCATCGATGGCGCTGAGCAGAGCGTCTGCCTCCAGCACATTCCGGGTGAGTGCCGCCTGGCGACCGATCTCCTTGATCAAACCGCCGTCCGACGAGTACCGCGAGATGATGCGCGCCTTCAGCAGAGCCTTGCCGCGAGCCACATCCTTATCGGACACCGAAGCGGACTTCAGACCGCGCACCAGGAACTCCACGGTCTTGCCAATATCCTTGGCATCAGCAGAGACAACAAAGCCGAAGATGCCGGCATCGGAATAGCTGGCGTTCAGAGCCTTGACATGGGCTCCAGCGCCGCCGGCGCAGTTGACGGCCTCGCCATAGAGTCCGGCCGAGGTGCCGCGCTTGGTGGCCGCCTTAGCGCCGAGAGCCTGCTCCAGGACGGCGAAAGCAAGCGCCTCCTTGTGGTTGGAGACAGCACCGCCCTGTCCAGCCACGGCCACGACGGCACGGTGTCCGGTCGTGTCCTTGCGGGCATCTCCGCCGTACCAGTTGGCCGAGGCAGCCTTGCCGCCTCCGCTGGGGAACTGCAGAGTCTGGGCAAAGCCCGCCAGAGTGTTGTTATCAATGCCCACTCCCACGACGGCGGCTCGGCCGGCGGCAAAGGTCTGGGCCACGTAGTGCAGCAGGCTCTCGGAGGACAGCTTGCCCAACTGGAAGCGGGGCGAGTAGATCGAGTTTCCCAGGCCGTTGCGGAAGGCGGCCTTGTGGACAAGCTCAATGGCGCGTTGCTGCAAAGAATGAATAGGATTAATATAGACCAAGGTACATAAAGAAGCGTTCGATGAGTTATTCTGTGGGGACGTCGACTAAATAACGATCAAGGAAACAAGGCATAGTAAGCCATTAGTTTTTGGAATGCGGACTTACCTCCGTGGAGACGGCGTTGAGCTGGTTGACCACCGTCTTGGCGTTGTCGGTCAGCTCCCAGGGCTTGAAGGCAGGCTGCAGGAGGTCCTGCAGGTAGCGGAGCCCGGTCTCGGCGTTGTCGGCAGTGGTGGTCACAGTGTAGCCGACGACCTCGCGGTCACCCCATGTGGTCAGGGTACCACCCACCTGCTGGATGTTGCGGGCGATGGCGAAGGCGGACGAGTTCTGTGTGCTCAATCCTCCGGCCAAACGGAGCAGGTGCGAGGCGCCCTGGGTGTCGTAGGCCTCGTTGCGGGATCCGGCGCTGCAATGGAGGGATTGTGGTACTCGTGAGGATCAGCTACTGAAACAAGGACTTACCCCAGCACCAGGGACACGCGGGAAACGGGGAGAGTGGCATCAGCGGTGGCCACCACCAGCTTGTTCTCCAGCACCTTCACATTGACGGCCGACAGGTCGCCCACGGGACGGGGGCAGGTGGCGTAGCCTCGTTTCTGCCGGAAAACAGGACGGGGTGTTCATAATTCTTGTTATATTCGACATTGTTTAGATGGCAACTTCAGGTGTTTTACGTAACACGAGCCTCCGCTGGGAGGATTGGCTGCCGTAACTTTTGTTGGTTAAGTCGAGACTTACGGCGATGGCGCGCAGAAGCGACGTCTTGCTAGCGTTGCAGGCCATGGCGTGGATTATGCTAAAATTTCTTCTATTTGCTTTTTAAGCAATGTTTTACAAATAATCGCAGAGCGAAAATTTTTGTCTCCGCTGTCGTTCGCGCTGGTGTGACCGTCGCACAGAGTTCCACAAATCCCTTTCCCAATTGGACTAAAAGTGGTCACACTAAGTAGCAGCAGTGATTTCTAATGAATCACGGGATTTTCAAAATATCGTGATCATAAACAATGGAAACAACGAGCAGACTTTTTAAGGGATCTATTGTTATTAAGGACAAAAGAAAAACATAAGGTTAGCCCCTTTTTAATATTTGGTACTCCTTCAGCACACAATGTTTTTTAAAACTATACTCGAACGTTTCAGAAAGAAGCACTATATTTATTAACTTTACTCTGGTGTATCTTAACCAAATATTAAAGGCCGTAAACTGTTTTAGACTTAGACTATCATCTCGAGGTCGCGGGCGTAGCTGAGCACTTGCTCGGCCAGTTCCTCGGAGGGCAGAAGCTCCTTGGGCTTGACGCTGCGGTCCGTGAAGCTGTAGTCACCGCTGGCCTCCAGTTTCCACTGGCGCTTCTCGCCAAACGCCTTAATCTCGTCGGGGACGCGCAGGTTGAGCCGCTTGGCCGCATCCTTGGCGGAGATCTTGTCGTAAGACTTCTCGATGCAGGCGCCGATCTCGTCGCGCACCGTCTCCACCAGCAGGTCCATGAAGTGGCTGTACACCTCGGCGGGCACCGTCGACTTGGCCTGGAAGATCTTGTTGTAGCGCCCCTCCATGATATACTGCTCCAGGGCAAGAATGGGCCGGATGAACTGGTTGTGCTGAATGACATCGACGGATAGCAGCTCCAGTTCCGTGTGGAAGTCGGACACCCGGTTGCCGGAGAGGAGGTATAGCAGATTGAGACCCAGCAGCTTGTACTTGCTCTCCGACTCGCCGATGATCTTCGCGTAGTCGTAGTAGTAGCACTTAAGCTGCGCCATGTAGCGCTCGAAGGCGAGCAGGTCCTTGCTGAGCACGCTGTGCTCCACGGCCACCTCGAGCACGCTCCTGGCCAGCAGCAGTTGCTTCTTGGATGTCTGGGCGTCGTTACCGTCCGTGGGCAGGAAGGCCATCTTCACCAGGGCCACCTTCAGTTGATCCAGCAGCTGCCCGCATCTGGCGGTGTTCGGGGGTCGCTTCGCCCATTCGGCGGTCAGTTCCTTGTACAGCGTTTCCACGGTGGCCATCTTTTTCGCTTATTTTGTTAAATGGTTTGCACGGACTCAAGATGATTTTCGCTTTTTTCTAGAGATGGCAAATATGTATAAAATATACCGAAGTGCTCCCAAAAGTGTACTTTTTATACCGCTTTACTAAAAAAAAAATATACCATAAATATACATAGGGTATTCCTTAAACGATTATTTGTTAATTAGTTTTTTACAGCTATAATTTTGATTTCACTGACCCAATTTCAGTATATATCTGCTGAGTTTTCAGAAATTCAGTCGTTCCGGGAATACCCAGAATATTTTTTAGCAAGAAAAACGTTTGCAGGTCAAAAACATTTTGTCCACCCCTAAGCGATAATTTTATTTCGGCCAGTGCTGTACAGTGCAGGTGCTTTGCCCGCGTTGCCCAACACAGTGAGAATTCGCTAAACGCCAAAGCTGAAGATTGTTTTTTCTTTTAGAAAACTTGATAGCCACCCAAAATGTCTGACGAACCAAACACCGCCGTGTGGGACGACTCCCTGCTGGTAAAGACGTACGACGAGTCCGTGGGCTTGGCCCGCGAGGCACTGGCCCGCCGCTTGGCCGATTCCACCAACAAACGTGAGGAGGAGAACGCAGCCGCTGACGAAGCTGGAGAGGATTCGGCCACTGGCGGAGCCATTAGTCCCGAACCACTGTCCGTCAAGGTGGGCGACTACGCCCGTGCCACCTACGTGGATGGTCTGGACTACGAGGGCGCCGTGGTGTCTATCAACGAGGACAAGGGCACCTGCGTTATCCGCTACTTGGGCTACGAGAACGAGCAGGAGGTGCTGCTCCTGGATCTGTTGCCTTCCTGGGGCAAGAGGGTGCGCCGCGAGCAGTTCCTTGTCGCCAAGAAGGAGGACGCGGAGCAGGCGAACCGCTCGAAGGCATCCGCTGTCGCTGGCACATCGGGCCAGACGAAGAAGTTATCCGGAAAGGGCCGAATCTCTGGAGGGTTGGTTATGCCGCCCATGCCACCCGTGCCGCCCATGATCGCCGGTCAGAGCGACGGCGGCGAGCAGGACTTCGTGGCCATGCTCACGGCCTGGTACATGTCCGGCTACTACACGGGTCTCTATCAGGGAAAGAAGGAGGCCAATACCAGCGCCAAGAAGAAGACACCCAAGAAGTAGTTACATCCCTCATCTCATCTCCACATCTTTCCTAAAGACTTGTAGCCATTAAGCAAACAAAACGATTAAAAATTGTTAAGTTAAGGAGTCATTTTAGTGCTGGCGATATCGGGTTTCAGTTGTCAAAGGAGAAAATGCCGATGCAGGCAGAAATTTAGGCACTTACAACATCTGCCCTCTTGTGGACGTCAGTTTTTCGACGACATTCACAGCGAGCAGTCGAATTGTGCATCTGGTGCATTTCGAACGGATTTTTTATACCCTTACAAAGAGCTCTTAAGTTTAGTCGGAATTTGGAAAAGTACCGCGGCCATACATAATAGTAAATGTCGACATGTGTTTATTATAATTTCTTCAATATTCAGATATGACATAGCTGCTATAAAAACGAAATTTGAGTTTTATGTAGATAGAGTATTCAGAATTCGACTTGCCGAGGTCAACAAAATGAAATAAACTTTTGAAAAGTACATATCACCGACGTTTTGCAACACTGCCCGCTGTGAGCCATGAACAGGCGTAAGATTTGAAACACAAGTGCAAGGTCTTCTGATTGAACTAGTGTTTTCTTCGCAATGCCAGGCCAGATTCGAGTGCTGGACTTTGGCGATGGCTCCGAGCCCCTCCAGTTGGACTATCCAGACTCGCGGATCTTCAGCAACTGCTCCAGCTACGGCGACCGTGTACTGGGTACCAGCTGGAACGAGATCACCGTGCACCATCGAGGTCAGCTGAACTACCTGGAGAATCCGAAGCAGGCGATCATGGAGGGTCTGTACCATGCGGTGGATGGTGCAGAGTTCTATCCGGTGTTCTACCAGGTGGGTTCCGTATATCCCACACCCCCTCCATACACATGGACTTTTAAACGGCCCGTGCCGAATTTTGTAGGACGGTAGCAGGGCGGATACCTTTCTGGTCCGCAACTGCAAGGCGGCCATCGACAACCTCTTCAATCTGAATCTCACCATCAGCCTGGACAGAGGCGCCTCCATCCCCATCAGCGTCCAGCTGGGCGTGGCCGAGTACCGGGTGAGCCAGATATCGCCGCCATTCCTCATCGCCCGGGTGGTCAGCCAGCTGTTGACTCGGCTGGTGCAAAGAGACGGCGTGGGCGGACTGCTCAACCTGGACAATTTTGGGGCCCGTCCGGAGTTCTGCAATATAGTCGTGAGCCTGGGCAATCCGAGCATTCTGATGAACGTGTGTCAGGTGATACGGAACGACCACGCAAGCTTCCGGGTGAACGGGTTCATATTGTCTAACAACCACATCCGCAATGTTCGTCCCCTGACTCTGTTCTCCAATGTGGACTATGCATTGCTGGACCTGAGTGGCAACAAGGTGAGTTGGCTCCCCCTAAGTGAAGTTAAGCTTCGGATTAAGTGTGTCCTTAGATCAAGTCAGCCGATCGCTTGTGCCGCGCCCTCGAGCAATTTCGAGCCACAGAACTGAAACTGGACAAAAATCCCATTGCTAGGAGTAACAACTTTCCGGGAAACATCAGGTCGTTGGAGAAGAACTTCAAGGTTGTGGTAAGTGTAATACACACACCATACGAATTTCATCATATAATTGATACCAAACATCCCATCAGAATGGTGTGCCCTTTGAAAAGCTGCACAAGGCCTTTTCCCCTCTGAATAATGAAATCGATTTGGAGACGGATGGATCGCGACTCGACGCAAATACCATGTGGAAGCTGCCCGAGTATGAGAACAGTCAGGACTGGCATGCCTTTATGGTGAGTTTATCTGGTAATTTCCAGGATTTCCCAGTTATAAACACATGGTGTGATCATAAAGCCGGAAAACGACCATATGCTTCCCAACCGTTATTCTTAAAAGGTACCCGATCCGCATCACGAATTCAGCAAGGACTTGTTCTTTGACTACTTCTTCATTAGCGTGGAGCAGGGCTTGAGCGAGTTCTACCCCTGCTACTACAAGGTGAATATGTCATTTTTCCAGAAGATCTTGGCTAATAATTATATTTTATCTATTTAGTATATAGAAACAGAACACGTATTCCTCGTACGCAATTGCTATGATCAGATTGCACATTTGGTGAATAATTTCAAGCTGGAGATGTGTGTTCCGTCGACAAATAATTCAAATGAGGAGCGATCTGTCAGTTACTACCTGCGCATGAACGTGGCCACTTTTAAACAGCATCATGTCGACCCGGAGCAGTGCATTCAGAAGGCTGTCCAGCGTTGCTATGTGCCTCAAAACCGGCTGCTCAACCTCGACCGGTTCCAATCCAACGAGTGTCTGCAGGATGTGGTGGTGCCACTGGGCAAGACCAATGTTTTGGCCCACATATTGTCGGTGGCGTCGCGTCAGTTTATGACCACCTGCTCGGAGATTCGCTTGTGCCGAAACAAGATCTTGGGCGTGGAGAAGGCCCATGTCCTCCGGCGGATGGGCAATCTGCGTGCCGTGGATCTGAGCCACAACTGGGTGTTTGAGCTGACAATGATCAAGTCTCTGGGTGAGCTGCCGCTTAAATCCTTGGTACTCCACGGGAACCCACTCTGCCGCAATTACCGCCTGCCCAGTGAGTATGTCCGGGCGGTCACGGAGCTGTTTCCGCAGCTGACCACCTTGGATGGCGTGGATCTGCAGACAAATCCCGGCCAGTCGCCGCAGAAGAACTTCCTCTGCGACACAGGCGCCTACGAGTTGGTGGGCGAAGTCTTCCTCAAAAACTATCTGCTGGAGTTTGAGCGTGAGGAGGACCGCTGGAATCTGAGCAAATACTACTCCGAAGACTCGCTCTTCACCTTGACTTGCAACTACAGCTACAACATGATCCAGAACCACCAAACTGGCCCAATGATGCAGCGCATATCAGCATACCGCAAGCACGCTCGAAATCTGCACAGAAATGACCCGTCGAATGCTGCCAATGGCGTGTACGTGGGCTTCTCCGAGATCATGGATGTGCTGATGGCACTGCCCCGGGTCAGCCACGACTTCCACTCCCTGCAGACGGACGTGATGCACTACGATGGACAAACGGCGATAATCTACGTGACCGGTCTGCTCCGTGACGAGGCACCTGGCGGCTCGAAATCCATCGGTAATATCTTTCTGGGCTTTAGCCGGCAGTTCGTGGTCAAGTTCGATGGAGATGGCCTGGTAAGTGGAGAATCACTGTGGTACATATGTTGATAATGCGACTATAAGTGTGTGGAAGGGTACTATTATTATATATACACGCAGAAAAGTATTTTATGATGGTCTGTTAGGTAGAGTGATATACCTATCTAAGGAAAGGTATCGTTTTATTTGAGAGATGAGCATAACAAGACTAACAAAACCAATTAGTTCAGGCATAAAGGTTTAAAAGTGTAGATATTTAAAAATAAAGTTTTTGTTACCTCGTTAAGGGGAATTTTTATGCTTTTAGCAATTTGGTCAAAGGTTAGTTAACAAATTTGATAAGGTAAATGACGGACAGTGCTGGCAAGGGTATTGCATTGCAGGCAACAAATAAATTATTATACAGCACAGAGAAGGAGTTATAATAATTTTGATTTTACAACATTTCAGGGCTTGGGTAGAAGAGCTCGCAGACTGAAGATAACAAATGAGCGTCTAAACATAATGAAACCCTCGAGCAGTATGATCAAAAACGCTTTCAGTGTAAACTATCCAGACCCAAGTGATCGTTTGTTGGAAGAGGACTCCCTGGACGTGAAGGACCACAAGCTGCTTCTGTTCCAAGAGGTAACCGGCCTCATTTCCACCTGGTGCACATCGATTGTTGAGGAAGCCGAGTGGGACTTCGAGCGAGCCCTCAAGTTGTTTATCCAGAAGAACGCAGACAAGGAAATCCCCGATGTAGCCTTCGCTTGAACATTAGTATTTATCGGCAGATGTTGTTTCCATTATCTTCCAATTTCAATTTTTCAAACTGTAAGAGGCCTGAAAACAAATTTTATGCCAAAGAAGTTGATTAAAGTTCCTATTGTGTTGATAAATTAATAGTAGGTACTTAAATGACTGAAAATGCCTATGATTTTCATTGATAGCATATAAACTATTTAGTGGCGGTCCTGACCAATAATAGTTTAGTTTCTTTTTAAATATATTTTTGCAGTTTTATAATTTAATTTAATTGTTTATGTGATTGTATATTTTGTCTCAATATTTTGTCCTTCTGAATATGTGTTTAAAAATTAGAAGGAAGTAATCAAAATATTGATCATTTTCAGGAATCTCTTTAGTGTAAGCAAAACAAACCTGCAAAGAATCCAAAGTTGTTATTGACTTTAAGCCCGGCTCCTTAGCCATAGCAATTTCGACATCCCAATAAAATTGCCATTATTACCAATAATATTGTTTATAGATGGCCGAAAACGTTTATTCAATAATTACGAGTTAATCACGTGCAAAAAGAAGTTCTTTTCCTACACATATATGGGAGAAGTATTGTATATCATCAATTCGCAATCTTTAGCTGCGGAGGAATAGGTCTGGGCAGTGGGAAATAAATAAACATCGAGAAATTGCCATCGCTTAAATATTTAAATATTTTGTAGACTAGAAAATGTTTCTAAATACATTTAGCATATGTTTCTTGTATAATATGTATAATGCATTAGTAAACGTACGGTTCATGACCCTTACACAATTAATTACAAAAAGGGGAAAGTCCGACTAAGCTCTAAGAATTTGCATATATCGTTTAATGTGTGTGCTCAATGGTTTTAGCTGGATGGTAATGAGTGTTTCATGCAAATTTAGAGTATGGCTGATTGGATGATAAGAAGATTGAAAGAAATTCGAGTGTTTTTCCATGCTTTACATGTGTTGGCTTTAATTCCATAAGTTAGATCAAGTTTCAAAACAAACTCTAATGCCAAAATGAACGAATAACACTTGTCCAAGCTATGAGCGCGTTAATATCAGATAAGTCTGTTGCGTTTCACGTTCACGTCCGTCTTCGTTTCCGCATCCGGGTTGTGTGCTTTTTGTGTGTGAGTGTATGTATTTTGGGTAATTACAATGGTTAATTTATCGGTAAAAAGATTGACAAGTGGCAAGCGCTGCGATTCCCGCTGACTTCTTGGCTTGAAACAAACAATTGCGAAATTGGCGCTCATAGTGGTGATAAGTTGGATCTTCGGTTGCTATGTTTCTCTGGGTTGCTGCGTCTGCAGCTGCTGCTGATTGACCCGATTTGATTTGGTTCGCCAGCCTCCCGATAATGCTTCATTTGCGTCTGCCGCCCACTGTGCTCCAGCCTCCAGAATCCGGGTGTTGTTGGTTCTGTTGCCGGGCGCTGCGTGCTGAGGTGGTCGTGTGTGGAGCACCACTGGCGGCAGACGCGGCAGCATCGTCTCACTTCTTACCGGGAGGCGCTATTGGTTGGCCGCGCTCCTTGCCGCGCAGCTTCATGCCCAGAACGCGCTCCATCTTGCCCAGGATCAAGTTGTTGGGGATGCCGCGTCCGGCCTCGTAGTCGGTCACAACCTGCTGCTTCTCGCAGATTTTCTAGGAGGGAAAAAGCATTAGCTTAGTGAACTTAAAATTGGTAATAAACAATTTAACCAAAGAGGACGTTTTCTAACCATAAACTTATGATTCAGAAGTTTGTTGCCTAAACTAATTAATCTTCCGTCTTGTCGTTAAGGAGTTTTGTTCAATAAATATTACGCGAGCTTAAAAGTTTATTTGCTGTTAAAGTCCCATAACAACAGTTTCAGCATTCAATATACATATTTAATGGAATGCGTTTCATGACCTAAAAGGGGATAAGCTCAGAGCTCTAACCTAACGAGCTAATCCCCAGTAAGCCCAAGTTAATTTTCCTAATAGATGATCTTTTACTTGATCGTTTTAAGTATGGAAATTTTAACTTTGTTATGAAAAAATAGTAAGTTAGTTAATTCAACTAACTTTAAATCTATGGGAGGTACGTTAGTTTAAAGCAGACTCCAAATCAAGGAGAAAATGACAAATGACCTTATCTCCTTTGGTTTTCTTTAAAGGGGTTCAAAACCTACAGTGGCTAGATCCTTTTGGCTGAGACCCTTGCCCTGACGTCCTTGCTGGATAAGCTTGCCCACATCAAGTGGGATTTTATCGTGGCGCAGCTCCTCGGTTTCGCGGTCCAGTTTGGCAGTGTTCTTTGTGGTCACATGCTGCTTGTTGGTGCCAGCACCATCTAAACGGGAGCAGAAATAGGGTATTACTATGGGGGATTTACAAGCGTGTGGTAAAAGGTTGGCTGCACTGGTGAAATCAGCAGAGCGTTGACACAAATAATAAAACAAATGCCACGCAATGCAGCAGGAGTGCTTCTAGGTTAGACAGTGGTGTGCTCGCAAGGGGGGTCACTTTTGGGGTCGGGGGCCAGGGGAACCGGCGCTCACATTTCTGTTGGGTATCCACGGCGACTCCTTGACGGCGCGCATTATTTACCGCCGATTCCGTCTTCAGGTTGGATTTGGGTGCCTTTTTTCGCAAAACGGTTGGAGCCGAGTCCCAGTCCGACATCTTTTTCGTAGTTTTTAGAGCACCGATTTGGGTGATACGGAAAAAATTGAAATTAGTGAGTTAACTCTTTCTAACCGATCGCCGCACTGACTGGCCGCTTTGAGGGGACTCACATTGGCTGCTTTGTTTAGCTTAGTTTGCTTTTATTATTAATTAAAACTACGAAATTCCAGAACTATCTTTTTTGTGTGGGGATTTTAACGTCTGTTAGCGTTAGTGGTGTGTCTGTTGAAGCAGGGACCAGCAAACGATGTATCGATATGTGCGAGGCACTATCGATTGTACCGCCAGCTTTGCTAGCACTCCTAGAGATGAAAACTAGTCATCATTGACGACCGCGAACTTTAAGCCCCTAAGGTTAAATAATGTAGTTAGGCTCTTATTTAGCCAACCGAAAGTTGGACTGTTGGCCGATTTATATAGTCAGCTGAAAAAACCCTCTTCCAAGCCAAAAGGAATAAAAAACGATTATATACACTATTTCTTCCAACTTTTTTCAATGTTGAAAATTGCACCGTTACTTGTTTTTCGAAACAAGAAAGCGATAGTTTTCAAATATTTTGAAAATTTTTTACGCTTTATTTTGATACTTTTGTTGTATTAGTTTTAAAGTTATCTTATTAAGTAATTATTCATAAAAATTATGTTATATTAGGTGTATTTATTTCATCTACCAAACCTTGTAAAAACTTAATTTTTGTACATACACTATATACATTTAATAACTCAAAAAACAATTGTAAGAAATTTGTTATTGCAGATCTAGAATTGATATTGTAATCTTTTCAATATTTATAAAAAAAATTGAACACTTTGCAATCATAGCATGTACTATTGATTTATCAAGCTCTCATGAGTAGTTTGATATTTTCCAGACCCTTTTAAAACGAAAACCCAATTGGCGATAATAGGGCACTCATTTGTAATTTGTGAGGGCTTTCTTTAAAGTAATGGGTATTACCTTATGCCTTTAATTTAAAGGCCCCCGAGATGTGACGCAAATAAGTTCTTTACCGGCGTCATCAAGGTTACGTTGACGGCGTTTAATGGCATTAAATGATCGGTAGCACTTGAAATTGTCATCTTCTTATCAGCTTATAAGCTTTAATCTTCACACAAAAAGGACTGTTTGAGTTCTGCGCCAATTACTTATCTGCTGCAAGGAAACATTCGATGATATTTCAAGCGAATCTATACTAAGGATCGCTAGTTTCTTGTAGTATTTTTTGTTATCAGACAAATGTGATTAGTGACGGCTGGGTAGTAAACTTGAACGTCTGTCTTAGTAGAGGTTGACTTTGGTGGTCAACTATTGTTAAAAGTCATAATCAGGAATAGCTATGGATTGTGTACTCTAACTTGAACCATATCGTTGACTGACACATATTAAAAGTTTTGATTTTAATAACTTTTTATTTTAAATTTCCTCAAAATTTAAATTATTCCTTTTTTTAACAACAACAAAAATCGCTGATAAGGCCTCAGAGTTATTTGTTTTGTTCTTGATAATAAGTTATGGAAATGTCATGTTGCTTAATATGAGATAATACACATTTACGCGGTGGTTCATATTGTTTTGGCTTTACGCTTATACATATGATCTACAGAAAATACCACTTAGCGAAATCAAAATTAGATAACTTAAACTGTGGACCTAAACAGAGAAAATATTTACAAACATTCTATGTATTTTACCTGATAGCAATTAACAAATGTTATAAAAATACAACTACTTTCATTTTTATTGAAAGAAATAAGAAATAATATAAACAAATTTAACAATCCAGATTTAAAAATGTTGTAATGTTTACTGTCCAACCAAACATTTAAATATCATATGTTTTCCACAAAGGTTTTGTTATTCATCTTATACATATTTGTGTATAATTTTTATGAACAACTTGTGTATGCTGCCGTTGTTATCTTCTTTTCACCTGAGATTTTACACCTACGCAAAGAGCTTACATATTGTAATCTCTTATCGCCTTAATTCTCTAAAGAAAAACAGAGCGAGGGAGAGAGCGAGAAAGAGAGAGAATAAAGGCGAGAGAAAGAGAGAGGAACATCGATAGGCAACTTGGGAGCGCGGTTCCGACGCGATTTTTAGTTCCATTTCGAACGTACAGCGGTCGCGTCGTCGTGAGCGGTTAAAAACGCCTAAATCGGTTAGAAAACTGCCAAACTCAAGTTGTTTACCCAGTGCATTTAAATTACCCATATAGGTGCGTGTGTCTGCGTCTCGACAAATTATGCTGAATTCATATAATAGCATAATGCATCAGCACAATTTATGAAGCCTTAACTGTTGTCATTTGAATAAAACTCACATAACTTGTGCCAAGAAGTTCTCTCGATCATTTTGGCAGTGGCAATCATCTAGTACTTAATTGAACCATTAGAATGCACTCTATCTATCGTTCCCAGACATTTCTATAGTTGCACCTGCGGTTTGTATTTATTTTCGTCACTCTCAGTCACAAATATGTAGATGGAATTGCTTAGGGGAACCTGTTCGGCGGACATCTATAATTGTTGTATAACAAACAAATAACGTTTTTTTTGTTCGATTTCGTGATGAGCTCAGCGAAATAATATAGTATTAAATTGTTACCATTCGACATTTTGCATATGAATGAAAAAGGCTGGAAACTTGAGGTGGCTACATTAATCAGTTTTGGGAACAAATTTGGTTTTGCTTGTTTTCTTAGTTTTTTCGGTCTCCATTTCCACGCAGCGTGTGACTTTATTTTTATTCGCCCTGGAGGTAAAAAAACACAGAGAAAAACATTTTATACGATCGAGACCCTAAAATTTTAACAAAGTCATTGTTTTAAATAAAAAATTTAGCTTAAAAGGTTAAATTTTTATTTGAAGGTTGTTGTTATTAATTGAGAATAAAATATTAACTGTGTTTTTATCATATTATGTATTGATTGTCTTTAACAACTGAGTCTTAAAAACACCAATACTTTCTTTGAAAGTATATACTTCAAAGTTAGTGTTTCTCAGTGTAGCAAGCCCTATGAAAAGTTCAACGTTCTAGGCTAAAATCAAATCTTTTTTGTGGCCAAATTGCGTTTCGTTGGCTGAGCAATCAAATTAGCAGGTGGCAGGCAGCTGTTTGCATCACCTGAGTGATTTAAATGAGCCGAGTGCGTTTTGCACGCGTTTTAAGAACGCGCTTAAAATAATTAGGTCTCCAGCGCACGGAGATTAATCTAAGTTCGTGCAATTAAAATGGATAGCAGCACAAAGATAAGCAAATTACGCAAACAAATAGTTGACACAAGTGTCTTGTCGTCGTTGCTCCTTTTGGCCAACTCCCGAGTCCCAACTCTCTCGGCGGATTACCAGATTTATGGCTTGTCCTCTGGGCACGCGACTCCCACTTGGACACGCCATGTTCCCCGTTCCAAGGACCCAGGGGCACATTAAATATTTAATTTATTTTCAGACCCCGCTCGCTCTCACATACAAATCTCGAATTTTGCGGTTGAGCCCTAAAATTTTCGGAATTCTTGCGCGTTTTTTGGCTGCCCGAATATGTTGACGGCTTCAATAGCCGATGCTTGACACTTGGTCATTTGCTATTTGCCTTTGCGGCTACCTGAGGGGCGTGGGAGAGAAGGTTCCATCCAGCCCAGTATGTGGGCCAACTACGACTACCAACTAGGCAAAAAAACACAAACATTGGGCTGAAAGAAAACCGGTTATAGGCCAACGAACATTGACTCTAACTTGTTTTTCCTCTTTGCCTTTTTCTTGCTCCCGCTCTCTGTCGCGATCACTTGCTCTTGGGAAATTCGGTCGCTGGTTTCCATGGCGCTGGTTTTCCATCTGCCCTCCCTTCAAATCGATTTAGCCAAATTGCACAAGCTGTAAGCAGTTGCTTGGCCCTTCTCGAGGCCTTTTTTTATATTCTGGTATTATAATACTTGATTGATAAAGTTTTTGTTGAAAAAGTCTCTTACATATTTTTTCGTTATTATAAAAAGTATAAAACTGGTATTTAACTAATTATTTGATTAATGTTTTTTTTGAAGACAATAATATTAATAAGTTTTACGCATAAAGGTTAATTTATTAAACATACTTTATATAGGATAAAGATGTAGAGGTATTCGACTATTTTTATTTTTACGATTTCCGGGCAGCTTTTTTTGTTTGCTCTTGAAAATTCATTGGTTCTAAAGAACAGGAGTGTTTGCTTTTAATCGCTTCAACTAAGTTGCACAATTTTAAGGTTTGTTTGTTTACTAAGCTTTTTACAAAACTTGCAATGTAGAGCACTGTTATAAGGCGTAAACAAGTTCAAGTGCTTATTTCTCATCAGCGGTTTTATATATTGAGAGAGGGAATTTCTCTCGATCGCCTAGCTCTTGAAATTCCCCCACTCGTTTCAAATAAATTGCAGAATTTGTCAAAAGTTTTTCACTCTTGAAACGGTGCCAAAAGAATTTTGGCATTCACCATTGCTCACTTAACCTTAACCGAAACACTTTCCTTTCTATTCCTTTGGCTTCCTTGTTTGATGACGAAAATAGAGTCTCATGCGGCAATCAGCACTTTTCTCGATTTTTAATGGCCATCAGTTAATATATCATTAGAAATGAAGCAATTCTATTTTCGAGCGCCGTCAGATATTCCGGCTGCCAAACAAATATCCCAAAAATAGTTTTGAAAACTCTTTCAAAATTCCAAGACGGCTCCCCCAACCCACACTTCTCACTTGTCACGCTGAGGTCAAGCAGGCGGCATATTTTACAAAATATTTTCCAACAAAACAAAACGCAGACCAGACATGATCCCATCCATCGGACTTGTAATGGGGAAGGTCGCCATGGGGCCCTGGTAATAAATTAGATACTTAATGTTCCCAGACAATTTTCGGGTATAGCTTTTAATTAAAGATTCCCAAAGGCAAGCCTAGAATTATCCGGGGCTCCGAACGCCGCTTCCCCGGAGAAATTCGATGTCTGCATAACAACTAGATAGTGGCCTTGTCGGCCCTAAGTCCCGATGTTTTATGTTATGCTCGGAACATGGATGTTCCGGTCGCCCAAGACTCGCCATAAATATGTAATCTCTCTCGGTTTTATATGGTGTGCATGATATATGCGCCATTATCCGGGGACGTGACGGGGATTTTAAGTGAATTGCGCTTGAGCATCATTACGATAATTGGTCGACCTGGCATTCTGGCATTCGCTCTCCTCATGCCACTCATTTGCACACATATGCTAATTAATATGCACAGTAGTTTCAGAGCTTTGATTTTAGCATTTTCTTTCACTTTTCACATTTCATTCGCGACAATATTCGCGGGCAACTGCGAAAAACGCTAACAAAACGCTCGCAAAATCTGTATCTGAATCCAGCTGTTTGCGTGCGTATTCAATTAACTTGGCCAGCAATTGATGCAAGTATCTGCGCATTCAGTGCTCCACATCTTCGAATTGTTTCGTAATCGAAATTATTTAATTTCCCCGTAAAAGTTCAACGATCTCAGATCGATCAGTGTGCGCTGGAAAACCAATTGGTGAAATGATGAATTGGATTTTCAGTCACTGGCAATGACTTTTGTTGCAGACAGACCAAAAAATAAATAGAAAAAAATATCGATAATTTAGGCAAAGTGGAAACAGCAACTGAACTGAACATAAATTTCTGCTTTTGATTTATGTTATGCTCTAAAAAAACCGAAAACCGCACCGCAAAATGAAACCAGCACGAGGGCAGATCTCTTAGAAATATGAAAACTAGGAATTTTTTAAATAGAGAGGGTACAGAGAAACAAATATTATTACTCATTTTTTATAAAAAAAGTTTTAAATAAAATTAATAATTTGCCAAGATTTCTTTAAAAGTTTATGAATTGCTTTTATTGAGTTGAAATTATATTCTATTTTGTATAGAACAGCAATTGATCACCTCACCTGACAAATTTAAATATGATTAAAAATGAATTACAAATAATTATATTATTTTCTGTGTATAAATAGGGGCGTCGCTTATACATTATACACAATCAGGCAAATTAGCCAAATGTCACGCACACTTTTCTAGAAAATTCAAACAAATATCAAATAATAAATATCATTCCCAGATTAAATTAGTTTTCCAAGTTGGCGAATCTGTTTTACAAATGGATGAGAGGGTGGTGGGTTAAAAGCTGGAGCAATTTGCTTCCCCAGTTCATAAAAGCCAGCTAAGCAAACACGAGAAGGCAGCCAAATTGGAATTTTAATTTCGCATTGAGAAAACACAAAACTAGAAAAATGCCGATGGAATGGCTTCAAAATGCAAACAAAGGAGGGGCATTCAATTGATTAGGGGAGTGTCTATGGAGGGGGTCTCATTCTCAGATGGCAGATCGCAGATCGGATCGTATAGTAGTAGTATAGTATCGAGAGACTCTGGAAAGCTAGAAAAGTGCAACCAATCCGACGGATGCGATGTGAGGCAATTATTTGCACTTGAAAATGCAAAGATGGCAGTGGAGGCAGCAAAATTAGATGCGTGTGTCAGATCGCTTTTTGGCCTTCCGCACATGGGATATGTAATTGGAAATTTCACAAGCTAATTGCAGCTGTCAATGCTATGGCAGTGACGTCACTGATGTACACAGAAAAAATTAATCATGTGCATATACATATAATATATACATTTTCTAAACTTTTCATATCCCAAAGTATTAAATATTACTATTGTTTGTAAAAATAATGGACATCGAAGTTTATTTGGGGTTTTAATTATAAATGACAAAATAATATAATCAAATTATACTTGAAAATTCGGCAACCATTTTTAGATTTTATGAACATTTTCTATTCTAGATTATAACTTTTATTAATGAACATGATTGTTGTGATTTTGATTTGATTTTAACTATGTATATTCAAATATTCTATTGGTAAACCAAAAATAGATAATCAATATTAATAATTGATATCTACATGAGATCACGGTGAATTTATATATATTTTTTCAGTGTGCTAGTATCACATATCCATTTTATTTTTATTCCATACCATCTCTGCAACAGGTTGCCCAACTGCATTTACCAGCGATCGATGGGGCGAAATAGTAAACAGAAAACCCCCAATTTGTTTCCAAGATGTAGTTTTTTGGCTTAAGGGGTCTTTCCGGGGATTTCGGTTCATCTATTTCTGGTGCTGCTGCAACCATTTATTTGTTGTTCTTTCGGCTTGTGTTTTGACTGGCAGAACATTTATTTTTTTTGGAAGCGTGTTCCACCAAATGCATTTCTAAAACACAAGAAACATTAAACCGCAAAAGGCACCGAAAAAAACAAACAAAATTTTGAAAGCCAGTAAAAACGTTTCATTCAATAATATTTCACAGAAGGCACGATTTTCAAGGGTCTGATTTTGATTTTAAAGCAACTAAGACTAAAAATAATTAGCCGGGCAGCACTATTTTATCATCTCTTACTTCTTCTTTTTCTTTGGGTCTTCTGGTTTGGGAAATTTGGTATTGTACAGGGGAATCCATCCGGCAATTACTTTCCAATCGGTATAATAAACAACAGCCAAAGCTGCCGCCAGTCCAAAGGTGGCAGCTGATGGCATACTGTGGGCATCAGGGCTTATTTAATAAAATATTAAAAATAATAAACTATGTCCTTTAGTGGGTTTCAGTATTGTCGGATTTGTACTTTATTTAATATCTTTACACTTACAAAGCTAGGGCCAATGCCTTTTGATTTGTCGTAGGCTTGTGCTTACACCATAAACCAGTCAATTTGTTTTTCAAACTCATTTTGATTTTTATATTTTGAAAGTAACTTTCTTTCCAGTTGAATTTTAGAAGTAAAGTTAAGGGGTAGCTTGTCACCCAAAATTCAGATTAGAGTTAACACTAAAGTCAGGTCATGTTTCATGCTGTTAATGAGCTATTGTATCCCCATCAAAATTCCCTGGATTTCTGGGTTGATTAATCAAAGTCGGATGCGGGCACTAAATTGAAACATTACAATCTTTTATGAGCAATCTATGAGCAATCCCAACTTGTTGGCCTGACCTAATTGAGGAAGGAGTGTGAAGGTGGAGACAGGGGTTGGCTGTCGGTTGATGGACTTGTGCTGATGACTAAAAGCCACGTGGAGAACTGCAGCAATTTGTCAGCGGGGTCAACCGAAAATGAAAATCATTAGCCTAATTTTTAGGGCTAGAGTTAGGTTAGTTTTGCATGGCGGTTCAGAGCACTCAGAAAAAATATCACTAGATGTTAGGTTTGAGATCTTAAATCTTAAAATGTTTAATACGCACAGAATCAATGTTTTAATATTTTTCTTTTTTTTAATTTTTTATTTGCATTATTATTTATTGTATGCTTTGTTACAGAAAGAATTCCTAAGAATTGTCCAATTAAGTTTTGAATTTTGGTTCATTTCTTGATTTCAAATTTAAATAAAATTACAAATTTAGATAGCTTACACGGGGAAAAGTTTTCTAAATAATATAAAATATTCCAAATACAATAAATGTCTCAATGGATTTCTGATTGAAAGAGTTATTTTTTCCGAGTGCGGGTGCGTGTGTGCTGGCATTTCCTCCGAACTCCGACTGGATTTCCATTCGATTCGATTCTGTGGGGCCCCTCCCAGATTGTCTTGCCAAGTTCCTTGCCAGACGCCAGCGAAGCAATTTAAATGCCACACCTATCCGCTGTCTGAGGTGGGTGGTTGCCAGGAGGCCTCCACATATGACACTCGCCGTGTCCATTAGGGCAGCCACGGCCTGGTGGACAGGACGACAGTTCAAGGATATGCGCCCAAGCGAAGGCTGGGCCACTTAAATGTTCGAGCAACCCTTTTTCCGCCGCCCACCTGACTTTACCCGCCCTTTTATTCCCTCTGAATTTCCCCAGAGCAATGCGCCTGCTGATTTTCCTGCTGCTGCCACTGGTGGCCATCGCCCAAGGCGATGACTACTGCTTCAGCAAGGACACCTCCCGCCTCCAGACCCGCCAGTTCTCCTCGAAGACCGCCTACCAGATCGTCAAGGGCACGGACATCGACAAGCAGTACCTGGTGCCCGGCTGCCAGCCCCAGAAGATGTGGATCTTCCACAGGCACGGCACTCGGCTGCCCAAGAAAAGCATGATCAACAAGGCGCCCAGAGTGGCCGAGGTATGTTCTATATATCTTACGGAATAATGCATTATAAAGAAAGTAGTAAACTTTCTACCATAAAAAAATATCTTGGTCAAAATCACAAAGATTTGCCTTTAGAACCTTTTTAGGCTTAATTAGAACCATTGGCGTTTATTATTAGACTTTTTTGTTGACCAGTGTAATTACTTCTTTATAAAATAACTTAAAATATTTGTAAATAAATTAAATATGAATGTTAACAAACAATTTTCATTTTAATTTAATTAAATTCCAAGTCACATAGAAACATTTTCTGTACATATCACTAAACAAACCTAGTCTTTTTAAGCAAAAATAAAATAAGAACGGATATTTTTATAAAGTGAGAGTGAAACTTTTTATCTTTGCTTACGAATTAAAATTTTCAAGAAAATTGTTTATGACAAAACAGCCATTCATTTGTACACAAGCTGCCAATTAAGGAAGCAGTTAATTACAAGCAATTATGAGCTATGGCCATTCGATTTTACGACAAATATTATTCTGAACAAATAAGTCATTTGTATTCAGCTTAAGTTTACTATTGATTAGTGGAGGATTTGTTTTGTTGGATATATTAAATTATTCAATGTTATTATCTATATTCCTTTGCTAGCTGCGCGATCTCATCATAAATAACTATAAAGTGGCCAAGACCAAGCCGGAAACGGATGAGCTGTGCCAGACCGATCTGTTGGCCATCCAGTTCTGGAAATGGAACAGCAGCATAACGCCCGATATGGAGGAGTATCTGACTACCCAGGGTTACGACGATCTCAGGGGCACGGCCAAACTGTATCAGCGCTACTACCCAAGTGTGCTGCCCCCGGTCTACAACGATACCTATTATCAGGTGAGTTTGCTTGCTTCGATCTCAAAATCTCAAGAGAAGAACATATTTAAAGTTTGTTCTTGCCCATAATTTACCCAGTTCCGTCACACGGACACCCAGCGCACCACGGAAAGCTTCAAGGCCTTTGCCGAAGGACTCTTTGGCTCCCTGAATTCCGCCCACTCCGTCGATATCCCCAAGCAGGATCTGCTGCTCCGTCCCTATGACTACTGCTCGTCGTTCAAGGATGTGAACTACAAAGGCGCGGGCTCTGAGTACGAAAAATTCCATCAATCTAAGCTGTACAATGACACCCTGGCGGATATATCCACTCGATTGGGGTAAGTTGTTTTGTTAAGCGAATTTTAGGGTTTACTCTGGGCTTTTAGAATGATTAAGTAGCTTAGTAATTATATAAATAACTATAAAAATGGATAAATCTTATTAGACTACGCGAATCACATGGCTTATTAAACCAGAATATTTTGTTGTTTTTGTTAAAAGCGTTTATTTTTATTCAGTGCTTAAATTGGTGTTTTCAATTACATTTTATATATTAATGGAGGAAGCGAAATTATGTAAAATTAATTTGGTAATATTAGTATATCTTTGAGAGTATAACTTTTGACACCTGTTTTTCGGCAAACAGTTTCCTTTACACCCTGGAGGAGGAGGACATTAAGCTGATGTACGATATGTGCCGCTATGAGCAGGCGTGGAACGTGAGTTTCTAGTGAAAAACATATTTTACCCTCAACAAAATTCTAAATTGGTCGAACAAATTACAGGTGGACCGCAACAGCGTCTGGTGCGGAGCCTTCCTGCCGGAGCAGGTGACTGTCTTCGAGTATCTGGAAGATCTCAAGTACTACTACGGATCGGGCTATGGGTTCCCGGAAAACGAACGCCTCAATTGCCGCCTGGTGCAGGACCTTCTCACCCATTTGAACAACCCCGTTTCGCCGCACGTGGTGGCTCATTTCGGGCACTCCACGGGTCTGCTGACCCTGCTCACTGCGTTGGGCATCAAAAAGGACGATATCAAACTGAGGGCTGACAACTACGACAGCTTGACCAGCCGTCGCTGGAAGACCAGTCTGATCGATCCGTTTGCCTCCAATTTCGTGGCCGTGAAGTACGACTGTCCGACGGACCTGGACCGCGAGAAGGTGGTATTTTTCCTGAACCAGCAGGCCGTCCAGCTGGACTGGTGCAACGTGGGCCTGTGCAAGTGGTCCGCTGTGCTGGAGAAGTACAGGGGAATTGCGGATGCGGACTGCGGTGATTACTACTGCCGGACGGGCGGAGCTGCGATGCTGGGATCCGGAATTTCCGGCCTCCTGGCCACCGCCATCGCCGCCATTCTGGTCTACTTAATGCACTAACTTTCGATTAGAATAGCTCTTAACTTGTAATGTACAAAGTTCGTACCAAATGAAGGGCCGTCTCGCCTGCGGATGTCAGTAAAGTATTTTTCGATTTAGATTTTCTACTTTTAATCCAGCAAAAAGCACAAAACTTCCCACAGTCGAAAAACCATACCATACAAACTCACACTCGGACACTGAAAATTCATCTTAACGATTTTTTAAATGCTTAACGTACGTTGACAGCGCTACAGTCAAAAATAGCTTTATATTAACTAAATAAAATGAGTATTTAAAATGTGAGCTTCGTTTGAAAGTGTTTCATTTTGGCGCCAAGGGAACTGCTTGTGGCCAAAAAAAGCAGTTTGTAAAGTAAATGTAAAATGGCAGGTTGTGTAAACAACCGGTAGATGGCACAAAAACTCATGATTTGTATAATGGAAAAATTATATTATAGCTAAAAAATATTAAGGGCTTAAAAATTTATTAATAAATATATTTGAAACTGATTATATTTTTTATACGCTGTTAAATTTGTATTAATCGAACCTAAATATGCTAACATAAAAAATTTGAGTAAAAATACCTTAGGTGCAAGTTATATGGAGTTATATAGGAATTGATTTATGGAAAATTCGATTTTAGGTAGAATAAAAATAAGTTTGGAATGCTATTGCAAAATTTTACTGCCACCGAGTTATGTTTAAGCTACAAAAATTTTTATTGTTGGAAAAGTTAAGGTTATTGTTAAACTCTTTAAACTTAACTTAAATAAACTTTTTTTGTATCCATGTTATTTAAGTAATCGTTTTCGGTTAGTAACAAAAGCCGATAAATTACTAATCTCGCTGTAAGTCGCGGTACTTCCAGGTCGCTTATGCCCAACTTGAAGCATGGAAGAAATGTGAAATTAATTACATTTCCTGGGCACAATCAGCGCGGCATCTACGACCACTGTGTCTGGCCTGGAGGAGAGTCTACTTCACTCCCGTTCTCCACTTGAAAAAGGCAGCTTTGACAAATCCTTTTCGGGTGTGGAAACCGTAGGCCCTGTTTAAAGTGTTACACTCCAGTCTTTTTCCACCGAATGCCCCTGTTCGGCAGTTTTCAGAGTGAAATGACGAGGATAATGGGAGGAGGAGGGCAGGTGGGCTGCTATGCAGCGTCACGTGTTTCCTGTTAAATGCTCTAATGATGGGTATTAGGCCAGACTAAGTGCCACTCATAAGTGCCGCACACGCACCTGACTCTCGGATCCTGGCCCTCGATTTCGGTCCTACCTGCCAGCGAATCCGAATCTGAAACCGACTTTGTGACCTGCCTCCGCCTTTGACATCGAAATTTACGCAATATGCGTTTTTTATTTCGCTCACTCCCACGCCGCCTTAGAGCTACCATCTTTTGGGCGTTGTCACGGCAGCCCAACTGACGGTTTTTTAGCCCGCCCACCTTTGAGGTCCTGCCAAATTCCACGCCCCCTGTCTGCCTCAGCTAGTTGAGTGTCTTTGTAGTTGTTGCCTGCGTACGTGGTTTTATGCCACTTTCGATGTTTCAACTAC